ACACACACACACACACTCACACACATATATAATAAAATTAGCATTCTAACCATTTACATATTAAGCCTTTTGCATATTGACATTTCACCTCCACCCACTGTCTAGATGAGGAAACCCAGGGCTGTCCAGCTCACATTGCCCTGGAAGGTGGACAACCCGCGATTCAGTTCCAGCCCAAGTGGCTTCCAAGCACAGAGCCGTCCTGTCAGAGACCAGAGAGGCCCCTCTCCTGCTCTGTGCAGCCCAGCGTTAACATGTGGCCCCATCAGGCCGGCGGGGCTCAGGGGCAGGGTCCTCTACTCACGCTCCCCCAGTTGCCAACTCTCCAGGCGGCCGAGGCGGGGCAGGTCCCGGGGTAGCAGGGGCGGACGCTGGCGGGCTGCGGGCCGGGGCAGGGGGCGCTGGCCTGGTAGGTGTACTGGTAGCTGTCCTTGCCCGCGTAGACCTCGCTGCACGACACCAGCCTCTGCTGGTAGCCCTTCCCGCAGGTCACCGAGCACTGTGGACAGAGGGCCCCGAGGGAGCTTCAGGCAGGCCTCTGGGCAGCCCCGGGGGTCGCTCTCCAGCTGGCCCTGTCTCCAGGGTGCCTAGGGGCTCTCTGGCGGCCAGCTCTGGAAGTCCATCACAGGGCGGCCCAGGCACCCCGGGGGACAGGCAGCCCAGGCACCCTGGGGACAGGCAGCCTGGGACACTCACACACCTGGGGCTTCCACTGCAGGGACCTGGGGTCCCTCCCACCCCTCTCTGCGTCTCCAGGGGAGAAGGACCAGGAGGATCCATAGTTGCCACCAAACTGTGCTCTTCCAAACCTACAGTCACCACATCACAGAAGCCACCGACAGCCAACCCATGAGCTGTCATTTTGAGTGTGGAATGCAAACATGTAGCCAGAGGGGACTTGGGGGGAGTGTCCACCCCTAGGAACTGAGTGCTTCCACACAGGCCTGTCTCTGCTCTCCCTGGCCAGGGATCATCTTGCTCCCCACTGCGCCCCAGCACTGGGGGTTACTCTAAGGATTCTTTACCATGGGCCATGTCCCTAGTCCTTTTACAGGATGATGAGATGATGAACCTGGGATGGAACTCAGGGGTGCTTAACCACTGGGCCCCAGCCCCAGCCCTTTTTATTTTTTTTAATTTGGAGACAGGGTCTCACAAGATTGCTTAGGGCCTCTCCCGGGGCTGACCAGGGCTTGCAGGCATTGACCTTGGTCTGTCCTGACTTCAAAGAGGCTGTATGTTTGAGAAGATGGGTGCGGAGAGCCCTGGCCCCTACACACCACAAGCAAAAGCMGCCCACCGGCCATTCCAGAGGGCACAGGCGGGCATTTGTTTGCTGAGGACACTGAGCCCCAAGTATGGCCAGGCTTGGTTCAGAGGCCCCCACTCTCTGAAAGGAAGCTGGGAAAAGCAGATCCTCTCAACCGGCTGATAAAAGCCTTGTGAACATGTCCCTTGCCCCTGGGCTCTCCAACCAAAGCAGRCCAGAGTGTGGAAGGGTTTGAGTGGCCCCTCTCTGAGGAGGGAGAATCATGCATGTTCTGCTGTGCTCCCTGTCCTGGTTTTATATGTGGGATTCTTCCTGAGCCTGTCTTCCTGATCTAATTTGAAAATAAACCAGGCGCAGAGGCACACACCTGTGATCCCAGCAGCTGGGGAGGCCGAGGCAGGAGGATCGCATGTTTGAGGCCAGCTTCAGCAACTTAGCAAGGCCCTAAGCCACCCAGCAAGACCCTGTCTCTAAATTAAAAACATCTCCAGAAAGGGCTGGGGATGGGGCTAAGTGGTTAAGCACCGCYGGGTTCAATCCCTGGGACCACACAYAAGAAAATAATCATCATAAAGTAAAATAAACAGATATATAAAGAAAGAAAATAAAAAGGAAGCACAGGACGGTGTCTCCTTCCCAGCAGGACCCTCTAGGCCGCACTGGAGGGCATCTCTGTGGGGGTGGGACTTCTCTTTGCAGGTCTTTCTCTGTTCTCTGCAAACCTAGAGGGGTGGCCTCCAGAAGGACACAGAGAGCTCTCTAGGAGCAGAGGTCCCAGGGACAGGGCATGCTTTGCGGTGGCACTTGCAMGTTCACAGATCCTTCTAGAAGGAATTGCTCTGCCAACCCCTCTCTGCATCTCTCCCCTTGTAAGCTCCCTTCCCTGTGGTCCTTCCGTCTGTGCCCGGTCCTGCTTTAAGGCTTCTAGACCGTCTGCAGATCTGCACAGTTTTCAATTCATAATACAGCTGAAAATCCGTGGAAGTGTGGGACTATTATTTTTTAAAAAATCTTTCTACCTCCTCTGTCAGGGGTTTCGTGTTGTATTAAAGCTACAAGAGTGACATGACTGAAGTCTTAGAAAGAAACGCAAACTCTTTTAACATAAAAAAGCAGCACATAGAAGATTGGCTGAGAGGATGCTGTCATAGAAGGCTGAGAGGAGGCTGTCATAGAGGCTGAGAGGAGGCTGTCATAGAGGCTGAGAGGAGGCTCTCATAGAGGCTGAGAGGAAGCTGTCATAGAAGGCTGAGAGGAGGCTCTCATAGAGGCTGAGAGGAGGCTGTCATAGAGGCTGAGAGGA